CTTCTTTGCCACCTGCCATCCTGTCCTGATGTTTACCCTGTTGACCAAAGTGACAATATTTGATTTCAGTAAAATTATGAGCATAGAAACTTGGTTCCACAACTGCAAAAATGAGCTTAATCTAGATGGAAACCTTTTGATTACCAAAGATTTAAATGCATATTTCTTATACATCTATTTCTAGTTTTACAAAATAAATACTGTCCATGCCAAGCTCATGAAAGAACTAGTAAATAAGTACAACACAACCTGCCGAAAATCAAATGGATCCATAATTATAAGTTTCTGGATTTCAATGATATAGAAACCACTAATTCAAAGGATAGAACTACTGAACTTCTAATAAATATGATCTGCTTATTTAAATCAGAAACTTGTCAATCACAAAGACTGAATCCAACTTTAACAAATAATAACTAAATAACAGACCTTGGCCCTAAGAATACGTCCTAAACGTTGGGCTTCTTGTCGTCTGGAACCAGCATGCGACGAAATTTGAATGATTACATTTGCCTCAGGAATATCTATAGAATTGTCACCCACCTGTAAATTGCAGAATCATTAAAGGTAATGTGTCTATCATGTAACATAACTTAGATCGACAATACAGCATTTTCATAGTTTCAATTATATAGCATACAGAAAAAAAAGAGAGAGAGCGAGCAGCATTCCTCAGACCCACAACAAAATGTAAAGCCCAAAAGAAAAGAAGGGAGAAAGAAGAAACAGTTGCCAGACAGGAGAGCCTCCCATCTTACCTATTAACTAGGCAATAAAATCATTCACTACAATAGGCAAATAAAAAACAAAGCCACAAATATGATTCCATGCACTGATACATGTTGTATGCAATGCCTTCGTGTCTCTTCATGCATGTCAAACATGCCTGTGTACATTTGTTGTCTGATGCAAATAATTGAACAACTATATATAAAGGACCAAGTCATCTGCGCTATAGTTAATATGAGTTGTTTATCAGAATACCTTTGAAAGAAAGACGGTGTTAACATCCTTGCTAGTTTTGAAAGCCTGAAGTATTTTTGTCCTCTCAGCATGGCTGCAAATTGCAGAAACAGATGCACATTTGTAACGCAAAACATTACAAATAAAAGCAACATTGTTAAATCAACCCATGAAAAAAAAACATAAAAGCCACCTTGTAGCACCATATATCATAGGTTTGCGAAGTTTCATTGCATACTCCGTGAGTGCAAAAAGGTTGTCAGCAAACACAATTATCTTATCACCACGCTGCTGTTCATGGAAACGTATCAAAAACTCACATGCCCTGAACTTATTAGGGTTCATCACATATAGTGCCTGAAAGTAACAGCATTTGATGAGCCAGAAGGATAAAGAGAAAAAGAAACAGCAAACAAGAAGTTCAAATGTGTGATATTAACTAGGGTAGCTATTGACTAGGAAACCTGCTTCTTCTTGGAATTTTCTTTCTTCAGATATTCAGCAAAAAACTCTTTTGTCATTGGACACCATACTTCAGCACACTGTACATTTGCTATAAATCCTCCTTTCACCAGATCCAACCAGTTTGCTTCATACAATTTGGGACCAATAAGGAAGTTCAAATCAGTAATTCTTTCATCCTCTCTTACAAGTGTTGCTGCAGTGGGAATAGCAAGTAATATTCACTTTCTCCACAGAGAAAGATAAATGGCTAAATAAAGGAGATGTATCCAGAGTAAGCTTACCAGTTAGCCCAAGTTTGCAGTGAGATTTAGTAAGACTAATAACTTTACGAAACATATGAGCAGGAACCACGTGGACCTGAAGCAATTAAAGTAATTCTTTTACAACAAAATGAATATGGAAGAAGAATAAATCTTGTATCCAAGCCTAAAAAAGTCATAACATCTTGCATGATTACCTCGTCCATTAGAAGCAGTCCCCATTCTCTATTTCTTATTTCTTCAATAATCTTTTCAGATTCCTCAGATCTTTTACCACCAAAAGCAACCATGTTATATGTTGTCACAACTACCCCAGCATTGCCCTGGAATCGTTCTTTGCTGTCAGATGTGAATCGACAAATTTGTTCATCACGGATGGTTGACCATAGCTGGAATTGAAAGGCCCACTGATCAACGGACACAGCATTTGTCGCTAAACAGAGGCAACTTTTCTTTATTCGGCATGCTGCAGAAACACCGACCAAGGACTTTCCAGCACCACAAGGTAGCACAATAATGCCAGATCTTGCTCTACCTGAAACATCATCCACCACAAGTAATTGATCTTATCCAAGTCAATAGCTTGTAGAAGGATGTAATCTCAAAAACTCATAGTGGTATACTGAAACTTGTAGCCTGATTGTCAAAAAAATTTCAAGAATGATGCCAAAAATTTCAATAAAGAAATATATATGACTTCCAAAGAATTTCTCAGACTCACCTACAGAACAAATATGAGGAATAAAAACCATGTTAAGACTGGATTCAGCAAATTATAATATTATTAAAAGCTTAATAAATATACCATTTCCAAACATTTTACTAAGGCTCTTTTCTTGATACGGCCGTGGTTGTGCATGAGGTTTCAATTCCATGTCAAGGTCAGGATTGACCTACATGTCAAAAAAAGCATTAACCAATGATGCGAACTGGATAGATTCTACAAAGTTGTTGAAGAGAGAGCTAATTAATATCCAGTGTATCTATTGAAGTATCTTATTTCAGGATAGAGACAGGAAAAATGTTGCATACAGTATCATTTCTAAAGTCATACTCCTCCAACATTGGATAATTTAAAGCATTTGGCAGGCACTGTTGTTTTACATTTTCAACCTGTCAAAAACAAACAAGAATTCTATCAAAGACCAAATGAGCAGAACAAACACAGACTTAAAAGAGAAGGACCGCATTGACATCCAACTACCTAGAGTTCGACTGCTAAGCAAAATCTATTTAAAGGGAAGAAAAAAAATAACAGTCTTGTCAACTAAATACTAACATATGGAGAAATGGTTTTATGTGATTTGTTCACCATCGTGATCTTTTCTATACTAAAAGATTTACAAGGAATAATGGAGCTGTTCACTTGAGTATACACAAGGTTCATAAACTGATCAGTACCATCAATTAAATTGCCTGTGCATGCAAGTATGAGTTGCTGGCTTGCAGTTCTATGCAGCAGTCAAGCTACCAAAGCACATAAGTATGTGCATCCAGATGTGTATTCTACCTACAAAAGATTTCATGTAAATTACCTGAGATGGATCAATCTCAAATGAGTGGGTCTCTTTGTCTTCTGCTGCAGCTGCCAATTCTGCTTCAGTTAGCAACCCATCATGACTGGCTCCAATTTCTCCTGCAGTTTTGCTGATCGTAAAACCATCATTTCCATGTGCCTGCACAGAGATATAGAATTATGAATAATTCCAAGGTACAAATTAAATGTGCAAAAGTCGAATGAGGCGATAAATTCCACTTCAAAATCACTGCAGAGAAAACACCATCATCTGCATGTGCATTCAACAAAAGTTGTATGACAGACAAACCAATCAAATCCTGATGCTGCTAAAAGTGAGAGGAAAAATAAGTCCAAGGAACCAATTCCATAATGCATTTGTTTCTTCATAACAGACAAAATCACAGCCATTGCTGCATGCAGGCATGCAAGAGACAGCATGCAAAACCTAAAACAAGCAAAGATTTGAGATCATCTAAGAAGAAGGTATCAGTACTGCAAAATGCAACAAATGGAAATTCCGAGTAATGATAAGAATTTTAAGATATCCCCAAGAAATATTATAGTATGATGAACTGTTTCAATCTCATTACGACAACAAACCTCCGATGTAATTCTTGCTTTAGAAATAACTTCATCTTTCAACAACTTCTTAAGCACCTACAAGAACCCACATAGATAATATTAATAACAAACGGTCAATATCCAAATACTAAGGAGTACAAAAACCAAAGGAACACCAACTTGCCTCTGGAAATGGTGATTCAATGAAGTACCGGTTTTTCTTAAGCACAAGCTTCACCTTGCCATAATTGGCCGTAGAAGCATATATGAAATCAATCATCTCTTTCGGCAGCTTTGTTTTGGACAACTTATTCAAAACAGCTACTATAGTTTCAGTTTCAAGGCCAACTGAAACCGCAGCATATAACGAATGAGGGGTCAAATTGTATTCGTGCATAGACTCTGGCCTATACATAACAATCGACATTCATCATCAAAAACACATCCCAAATACCTTACATGTAATAGTTAGTGAATACAAAATGCGATGGGAAGATATAACTTTCCATTTTCTGCAACTTTTTGAGTTGGAAAGAAATCAAAGGCTACCTGCAAACAGGCTCGGCAATTGCGATGAGAAAATCATATGCTTGTTTATATAAAGGGGAGAAAGTCTCCAGGAAAATGCGGCCATCTGCGCAGGCCCAAAGAGGCCGATTGGCGTGGTCTACCTTCAATTCTAATTTGCTAAAATCTCTCTTCTTAGCTTCATCGCCGTCTAATCAAACATAGATACAAATCGATGTATCAACATTACACTTCCACAATAACAACTAGAAATCAACTAACAAACTAGAATTAACAAGGTAGACAATTAAATTTACCATCGCGATAATCAGCCTCAGCTTCTTCGCCGTAATAAAAGCTCTCGTCTTCCATGGCTGTGCTCCTGTGATCATCCTGGATAAATACAAAGTACAACTATTTGTTTAATTCCTGATTTCGATTTTGGTATAATTAATAGGATATTTACAAGATAAAACTGATTATTATTCATTAACCTTAGAGGATTTGAACTTCTTGCTAGGTCGACCCTTTTCACCTGAAGATTTCAAAGCCAATGTCAATAATGTACCATTTACAACAGATGACAAATAAAAATGAGCTTCAATTCAATTAGGTGATAAAAAATTGAAAGCCAAGGCCTTTTACCATGACCATGATGTCCCATTATTCGCTTTTGTTCTAGTTTTCTTTTGATCCGAGAAAGTTCGCTTCTTTCTTCTGTTTTCGGTCAGTAGAGTGAGTGCTCTTGCCCAAAGACATCTCCATTAAGGGGAGGGAATCGTCGAGATATATACTACAGGAGAGAGAAGACCGCCTTTCTGGTCAGAAACGGTGGTGGAGGTGGGTTCGGGTCCACATAACCAAAACGATGTCGTTTCATGAGGCGCAAGCTTAAGTGAATGCATCCCTTCCCTTAACCCCAAAATAAAAACCCGCTAACTAGGCCTTAGATTTTTTCTTTTTCCCTGGATTTTTCAGGTTACCCATCTTCTTCTTCCTTCTCTAACAGCGCAATTCGCAAGTAAATAACCGAAATGGTGAGTTTGTATTTTTATATAAATGTCTTTTCTATTTCTTTGGGATATTCAGGATCATTACCCAAATAGTTTTTTTTTCTAGGGTTTCGAGTTTTATGGTTTTGAATAAAAATTTGATCTTTAACTGTTTGGTTGCCGAGAAAACGTAAGAAAAGCAAAGAAATTTTGATTCTAATAGCTACTTGTGTTGAGGGCTTTTGATATGCAAGCCTTAAATAAACTATTACGAGCATCGAACCCGCCTCTTCTCGTTTTCCCTTGGCTTTCTACGGAATCAAACATAAAAAATGGTCCTTTTATTTCCTACGAAATTCCGATTTTTCATTTATAATCTGCAAAATTCTTTGATCTTAAAATTAGTTAGTAAGCTCATATTGAAAATCTTGTATCAGGCTACACCGTTGATAGCAGGTATGGCAGTAGCTGCAGCTGCTTACGCGGGCAGATATGGCATCCAAGCTTGGCAGGCATTCAAGGCAAGACCACCAACAGCTAGGTTGCGCAGATTTTATGAAGGTGGTTTTCAACCTGTCATGACAAAGAGAGAAGCTGCTCTAATACTAGGAGTTAGGTATGTCTCTTTCAGAATTTATAGAAAGATAAATGTGTTAGTTTTATTTCACCTTGGAATTCTTACCTTAACCTATTTGAAGCTGCTTATGAGAGCTGACCCATACTGATGGTAATAAGTTAGCTAATTGATTCCAGGTTCTGTTAAGGTTTTTACTTGTTAGCTATTAAACTGCAACTTTGGAACATGATCTATTGGCCATTTTTGGTGTTCTAAATGTTGTACAATTTATAGTGCACATCACTTTCTTGAGTGTTCTGCATGTTTTGTCTTTTGGTTTTAGCTTTATTACTTTGTACGTTAGACAGCGTCCCCAGAAGGAAGGAAAATAATTGCTCTTGTAGTGGCAATCGCATCATGGTGATATACCCTAGCTGATCTCGAATAGCATCAGTGAGGACCAGAGGCATGACTATTTTGCTATTGAAGAGCTTGGTTAAGTCATATGTGGTTTTCAGGATGAGGATCAGGTGAATCTTTAACAAGCTTAGGAAAGCCTCTTATTTGCCTGATTATTCCAACATCAAAACCAAATTTGAACTAAACTTAGTTTAGATCCGCAATCACTTAAATGGGCACACTTCTCTTTTGAATTTCTTGTCTGAAATCAGACTTCGCAGGCATTCTGTAAAGTAGTTATCATCATTTCACCCTCATGGTAGGCTGAGCTTTAAAGACTCTTTCAGCTAGAAAGATGAAGCTGGCATTATTGCTGTGATCACATTAGTGTTCTTAGAACATTGGCATACACAGTGACCAGGTTAAGCTTATGCGGGTGTAAGCTTATCTCCAATTTTATCTTGGACTTGAGTGCACATGACCTGAGGTGAAGTATCTTCTGGACCTGCATTCCTATTAGAACAGGAGGCCTTGTCCAATGTTAGAGTTATTAGGTGTATGTAAATAGAGTGACCTTTTCTGTTTATAATTCATAAACTTAATTTTGTTTGTTCATATTTGAATCCAATAATACAAACAGATGTTCTTCAGGGTAAAAATTTTAAATTTGTAACACATGTTTGACATTATGCACTTGCCTTGCTGAAGCCCTCCCTAACCTCAAAGAAGTCATTGACACTAGTTTTCTTCTTTTTCTTATACAGAGAAAGCACTCCAACAGATAAGGTTAAGGAAGCTCATCGGAGAGTGATGGTTGCAAATCATCCAGATGCGGGCGGTAGCCATTACCTCGCCTCTAAAATAAATGAAGCAAAAGACATCTTACTTGGAAAAGGCAAGGGCAGTGGCTCTGCATTTTAATGATATTGGTGCTTCATCAGCTCAAGAAGGCCATATTACAGCAGCAAATGAGTTGGACTACACTTATACTGCTATAGCTCGAACCAAATTCCTGAAAAATATTGCGATTGGAAAATTTAAGGTTCAATGTCAAATTGATTTTTTAGAACCCCAAATATGTAAACACGCATGGGAAAGTTCGATGTGGTTTTGTTTTATGAATTTGTAAACATAAGAGGGCGAGTGCCCTGCTGATTGTAGGCTATCAATTTTGTCCCATATACAAGCTACCCCTTTTGTCTCTCTCTCTGTGTGAAATCGTTAGTACTTTGTATTCTCCTTCCATTCTTCTCTACACCTGTTTTTTCCAGGAAAATGCCGTTGTCAAGTTAAATCATAAGTTATAACATGCTAGCACATTGTCTTATATATGTTTTCTGTAGAAAAATATGGCCAATGTAAGTTCTATAGAAATTGATGGAGTGCTAGTTCGCCTTATTATAATTGATCCTAATCCAATTGGAGGCACCCATGGACAAAACTTAGGTTTTGACAGAACAACTTATGATTAGGATCACGTTGCTTTCACTCAAATCCGAAGAAGGGAAGAAGGATGAATTGACATTGGAATCAAAATTGCAAATTATTAAAGCTGAAGCACGTGCAACTCACGTGCAACAGATCAAAAGCACTCGCGCTCACGCACTTAATAATGCCTCGCTCTCGTCAAAGCCTCTCTAGCAGAGAGAGGCATTAGCCATAACAGTATCCTGGTCAGGGCTATCTGAGTTGACTCAGCGGAATCGGCTCTGAAGGTAATCAAACTTTCTATTTATTCAAACATAAGAAAGGAACAATTTTGAAGTTAGAACTCGTAATTCTTTGGATTTTATTTATATTGCTGTTAGAAACAATGGATCTCTGTGAAATTTTATCGCGTCTTCTAGGAATTTTCAATTTTTTTTCCTTTTAGTCTTCTGTGACTTATTGCATCTGAAGCTTTTTTTTTTTTTTTTCCTTTTGTGGAATTTAGATACCAAAGCTTTTCTCTTCTTCGAATTTAGATTCTTATCAGATTTGAATTGGTTGGGCAGGTGAGAAAGTGCTGGAATAAGAAGTAAAATTAATAAATTGCAAATTTTGCATTTTGGTTTAAATATTTTCGTACAGAACTCTGAATCTACATAATTCGAGCTTCATTTGCCATAAGACAGAATTTTTTATTGTAATCTGCAAACTGAATCATGAAATTGAATAACAATCTTAGGTCTTTAGCTTAAGCTGACTGTTTATAAACACAGAAGCAAATATACTGTTTGAGTGTGTATACCTATGTATGCATTTCGTTTTACTAATTGAGATAGTGTGCAGATCCTAATTTTTGTAATTTTTTTTTTCTTTGCAACACCAGCAGAGATGTCATACTCAAGGGAAGGAAGGCAAGTTTTCACTCAATTGTTGTTTTTTCTATTCTAATATATGTGGTTCTTTTCATGTAACTAAAATTATTAGTGCTGTTACATTTGGTTCATTATGGTCCCAGATCTGCTTCCCCGCGCACCTCAATTTTGCCGAGTAAAGGCCGTCGGTCAAGGTCATTGTCAAGGTCTCGTCGTAGCCGGTCCAGGTATATGTATAACTTTTCTTTCTTTAGTCGTACGTTAATTGTTTCATACGTACATTCTGGTATGTAATGTATATTTCTCTCTTTTCTCTGCATTTGTCACCTATTATATGGCTGCAAAACTTTGAATTATGGTTCTTTCTTGTTGCTCCAGGAGTCGTGATTCTGTTGAAGCAGCAAATCCTGGAAATAACTTGTACGTAACTGGGTTATCTACTAGGGTTACAACCAGTGACCTTGAGAAGTACTTTGGCAAAGAAGGGAAGGTATAGTCCCCTTAAGACTATTTTTTCATATGACATGAATACGTAATATGTTGCTTTGCACGACATTAGTGTCATCTGAGAATCACCTAAAATGGTATTACAATCTAGTTATGATGTCACATTATATAAACCGAGATGCATGTGTGTGAAAGTTCTGGAGAGAGCATTAACAAATTAGGATTTGGAAGGAGATTCATGACTCATAATTCTGAGATGATATGAATTATCAACATATAGCTTCCCTCCAGTTGTTTCTACTGATTTGGGTTGAAAATCTTAACTATAATTACACTTAGATTGAAAGTGCATGGGTGAAGGCTCACCAAGGAATGGACTGGAAATGATTGATTGAGTACTCATCTTCATCTCCATGTTCCACCATTTCCTACATCTCTTGCGGGTTAGTAATTTTGTTTCCCCTTGGCATGTATCCAGTTTCTGTTTGGACAATTCAACAATTCCAGCTGTCCTACCAATCCCTGTCATAGTGTAGAAAATAGAAACCATAATTTATTCCTTTACTTCTACTCATTCAGTGCTTTGTCAAATATCTCTGTGGACAGAAATTTCATGTTAGTGTTCTTTTTTTTTTTTTTTTTTAAGGTTTTGGAGTGCCATCTGGTGACAGACCCTCGCACCAGAGAATCTCGTGGATTTGCTTTTGTTACAATGGAAACAGTTGAGGATGCTGAACGCTGTATAAAGTATTTGAATCGTTCAGTGCTTGAAGGACGACTAATCACTGTGGAAAAGGTACTGCTTTTGTCAAAGGATTTAAAAAGAAACAGTCTAGGGAAACTGAATTACTTTTGTATTGTTATTGTTTGTGAGTTCTTTCTTCGGAAATGTTGCCTGATAAGTTTTGGCAGCAGGTCTGGTATGTGTAACTTCATCGAATTCACAATCTAAGCTCTTAACAGTTGAACCTATCCCTTCACGAATCACGACATGCGTTCTGCATCGACATTTCAAACACATCGATTCAAATTCGACTATTTTGCAGAGGGTTGTATGCCCTGTAATCTTTCCTTTACTAGTAATAGTATCTGACCTGGCTTTTCATTTAATTTGTTTCTATTTTGAAATATCCTAGACAGAAAACTATACCCAATGTGTCAATTTCCTCATCTTATCATGTTTATTCTAGTAAAGACTGGCTTACAAAAACAAACAAATGAACAAAAGTTCTGTTAGTCTTGACTGTTGGTCAATACAACAATAAAATGAAACACTTGCAGCTGTCGCAACTTTTGGTGCAGATTATTATCATCAATTCCAGATGGCACTATGCGGTTACCTTTTGAAATGTAAATGAGTTTCAAAGAACAGTATGTAGAATGCATTATAGCCCATTTCTTAAATTCTTGACTTATTTTTATTTTTGTCATTCTTTTTCTCCTCCCCTTCCTTTGTTTCATAATGTGATTTTGTTTGTGTTTTCTCTATTTATGTAGGCGAAAAGGAGTCGTGGCAGGACACCAACTCCTGGCAGGTATCAAGGTCTGAGAGAGAAACGAGGTACTTGTTGGAATTGCACTGGCATTTGTGTGAGAAGTATTGTAGTAGCTGAATGGATTGTTGTGTGTGAATTGTGAAATTTCTAGCAGTAGGGTGTTTACTTAGAAAATTTGTATCACAATTAAATGGTTAAGTAATTTCTTCTTATTCAGTTTTACTTATCAGACCATGATATATGATCTGTGACTTTCTACAATCTAAAAATACATTCATATGGCTTTATGCTGCATATTCTTTTTTCCACTTATTTTGTAGCCTCCCTGAGGGCCATGCACCATGTAGTTTGAAAAATCCCCTATGGAGATACAGATTGCTTTGAGTTATTTGATGGATTTAATGCTCACAATAAGTTATTTATTCATATTGCAGCCGACCCCAACTATTTTTTATTAAGGCTCAGTTGTTGTTGTTGTATCACCCCATCAGTTAACAAGGAGCTGTCAATTTTCCCATCTGTTAAATCTAGCAATTTATGTATCATACTTGTAATTTGAGCAGATGGACAATTACAATTTTTAGAAGATCATGTCATCTGGCTATCTTAGCTGTTCTGGCCCTTTGACCTTTGAGAGTGCCATTCAAGATTTTTAGCTCAAAATATTGAGCAAAATGGAGTTTTTGAAGACATTATTTTAGTATCTTGGGATTATTCAATTCCTACTTTGTATATTTACTAGTGTAAATATGTGCAGGACGTGGCCGCAGACGTTCCCATAGCTACTCACCACGCAGGTGGGATGATAGAGACAGAGACTATCATGCAAGGGACCGGCGTGTAAGATCACGTTCTCCGTACAGTAGGAGGGGGGATGATTATGATTCATATAGAAAGCACAGGGATCGCTCACTATCAGCTGAGCGCGGGTACCGTAGATAGAGCAAGAATTGGAGTACTCATCTCCTTTTCCCTCTTGCCCATCAAACTTGATGTGGATTCCTTGTGGAATCATGTTGACAATGTCATATCATCTGTTGTTCCCTGGTTTGTATCTTATCTTCATATACCCTCTTATTTAACAGGTAATTTATATTGTAGGGTTTAATCTGATAATATCTTCTGCCATGCTATTGGTGAGGCCTTTGCACTGGCGGAACCACTGTCGTCTTTGCTAATTTTGATGACAACTATTGTTGAACTGTGTTAGACTATATATATACGTACATATATATGATATATAAAGTACAGTATTTGATTGGAAATTTTGCCCCCCATAGAAGTTGAATTGATGTCACTGCAATCTTCTTGTATCAACCCTGGCCCATGAATTTATTGTGGTCTAGCTGCAAAGAAATATCGAACATGTTCATGATTGTATGTGCATGTGAAAAATATCAGATGCAAAATGCTTTGCTTTTTATTTTTTCTTGCTCCTAAAGAATATATAATTGAATTTAGGAAAGCTATTTTCTACTCTTCTTTTTTGTGCTTTTTCTTCCATGAATTTTATAAATAAGAACTGAAACTATGGGATTGTGTTTGTGAATCCCTTTTTCTGTCAAAAATTTAGTACTAGGTTCTTGATTCTACACACACTCAAAACTAGGATGCCTGTGTTGTTCAGTCAGATTGGCATTACTGTAATATTGTACAAGAATAATCAGTCTTGAAAATCAGCAATGCAATTATAATACTCTATTTTGAAGTTCATTTTTGTGTTTTCCTTCTTTTTTTTTTTTTTTTTTTTTGCTTTTTCTTCCATGAATTTTATAAATAAGAACGAAACATCGGGATTGTGTTTGTGGAATCCCTTTTTCTGTCAAAAATTAGTACTAGGTTCTTGATTCTACACACACTCAAAACTAGGATGCCTGTGTTGTTTCAGATTCAGATTGGCATTACTGTAATATTGCTACAAGAATAATCAGTTCTTGAAAATCAGCAATGGCAATTATAATTACTCTATTTTGAAGTTCATTTTTGTGTTTTCCTTTTTTTTTTTTTTTTTTTTTTTTGTGTTTTTGGCTTCTTCCTTTTGATTCTTTTGATTGGAAAGGAAAGAAAATAGGAGAGAAGAAGAAAAATAAGGGTTAAAGTAAAATTCAAGGAAAAAGTGCTATTTTCCCTTCTTGTGTTTAAATAGAAAAGGGGAAAACAAATTACACTAGTTAACTATTATTTAAAGTTTTAAAGTTTTGAACAATGGGTTTCACCAAGTTTTTTCGTAATAGGCATTTATATTTTTAATTTTATATCCAAAAAAGAAAGCGATCTGCTACAGTATGATCTTCTCACTAATGTGAAAAGTAAATACCTCGAGTTTGAGTCTTCATGATTGGAAGAATTTTTATCGTTTGGTGAGTTAAAGTTATGATCATAAGAATTTTTATCAATTTGATGAGTTAAAATGAGAGTTATCAATCTGGCGAGTGACAAAGCAAGTTCATTAGATTTAGAGGGAGTTCTCTTTAATTTGGTTAAAATTTTGACAAAAATAAATATTTTTTTTTTCATTTTTTCTTTTTTAAAATAAAAATGAAATTTCAAATTTTAACATGGGAGTACTTGTCACTTTTAAATAGTCTATTTTTGTTATTAGAATAAATATTAATTAAAATAATTTAAAATTTGATGAACATGAATTATCACGAATTAAATCTCATTTTAGCATCTGGTAGTAATATATTGTAAAAAAAATTATAAATTACATTATCATGAAAATAATTAATTTCACTTATTAGAATTAATAATTTAAAATTCTTAAAAAAAAAAATGAGAGGGAGAGAGAGGGAAAGCAAATAAGAGCATGTGGGTGGTGGGGTCCAGCCTTTGAATCTTATGACCAGGAAGCGGGATACATAGATTATAGAGTGCGCTCCAGCTGCAAGGGCGGACCTCAAATCGAATTCAAATTTATTAAATTCTATTTCTTTTTCTTTTTTCCTTTTATTTAAAAAAAAAAAGGAAAATTTGTAAAATTACAAGTCAAAAATTTTGTAGCTTTATATGGTACAACAATTTTAGTTGCTCGGATAAGATCCGACAGCTGGATTTCTGACACGTGTACGTCACTCGTACCCTTCTGTTTTTTGAATTAACCGATCATTCGGCCACGGCTTACCATTATCACCACTCAGCAGCCAAGCCATGGCTTGTCTTTTGATTGTTTTTATCCTTTTTTTTGTATGACAATACTGCCCCTAACGACGAAGCCATGGATGTTGGATATTGTTTGCAGAAAGTAGGGTCATTCCTGGCCGTTCAAATATTTGCTGTCGGACAAATGGTTTACAGTCGACGTGGATGCTAAATATCTGGGCTATTCATCCATTTTTGTCAGAAATATCCCAACTCTTAAAATAAATAAATATAAATAAGTAATTTATTATTTATGGTGAACAAATTATAAATCACCATTGTTGGTTGATAAATTTATGATAATCTGAACCACAATTAAAATTTTTCATTTTTGGAAAATGTAATTTGCTATTGATGAGATTTAAATCCCAAAACTAATAGCATTTTTCATATTTGGTATTTAATATTTAAAATTATATTTCAAAAACTCTTTCATTATTAAGTATGTACATTTTGTATTATCTAATTTTTAATTATATTTTATGGAAACTATTCAATTATAATATTTTCGTCAACAACATTTTTTATCAAAATCTAAGTATGTAAATTCATTTGAATTCTAATTAGAAAAAAAATTATGGAGATTTACACTCTATTTGGTATAAATAAATTCGAAATATGGAATTCATTTGTAAATGAATTATAGTATAATTCGTCTGTGAATGAATTTTTTATATTTGGTACGATTAGTTCAAAACGTGTAATTTGTAATTGAATTCCACATGATCATTTATGAAACAAATTCATAATTGAAAATTTATTTGCTTTGGTTTCCTAAAATATCATTGAAATAATAATTTTGCAATAATAAATATCAATTATATTTATGTTATGCAATATAATTTTTTTATATTTTATTAGAACAAATAAATAATATTAATAAAATTATTGCATTTAATTTAGCGATGAATGTATATTTAATTTGAATCTCTCTCGTGAGTAGTCAAAAAAAAAAGCTCAAAATATTAAAATAAAAGATGAAAAATATTAAAATAAAAAACACAATAATAGAAAATTATTTTTCTAAAAAAAAATTTCATAGTTTTGGTAAGTTTGATAAATAAATAAATTAAGCAAGTAAAAATTTAAAAAATTGATTTTGTAGAAGGAAAACGGTAGTTTATCATAAAAAGTTGAATGGTTTAATTTTGTGGAATTCATTTGGAAATTCCAATTATTTTTATAGAATTTAGTGTAGCTATGTTCAATTCTGTACAATTAAATTATTAGAATTGAAATATACATTTTTTCATTTCAAACACAAAATTATGGATTTCTAAATGAATTCCATAAAAATTTATGTAATTCATTTGTTTCAAATAAGCAGTTAAAAAAAATCTAAACCATAAATTTAGTTGCAATTGTTACTGTTAATCAACGGTGGTTCCTACTTTCTAATTTTTTTTACTTTTACTGATCTCAAATATGTATTTATGAGAGATTGTTCAAGTTGAGTTTGGTACTAAACTTTGATTTTGTTTGATCGAAAATTTTAAATTTTAATTTATAAATATGGATTTTCGACTAATGGTATCTAATAATGTAATATATTCTATGGATGAAAGTAAAATGGATATCCGTAAATTTAAAATTGCCTGTTTCCATATATATTTAGAATTTTACAATCTATATCCATGTCCAAATTTATTTAGATTTATATATTTGAACTCTTTTAGAATTTTACTATTTATACCACTCTTATTCTTTTTAGAGTAGCTAAGAAAAGACAAGTTTTAAATTATTCAAACCCAAATTTATTTAATTTTTTTTAAGTAACAATTGGTAAGGTCCTGTTAATCTAGTGTGGTCTAATTGGTTTTCTTATATCTCACAGAAGATGAGAAGTGAGATGTATCGAGATTGAATTTTTTCACCATAAAAATTATCACCAATTTAGTAAATATTATTCAAAAAGGAGGTTTCCCCCCTACTCATACTATACTTACCATTTACCATACTTCCCATGCTCAAAATTGTCACATGTAATAATTTTACTACATATCTATGATCCATTTATAATACTGTAGACATATTGAAACAAGACGATATCTTAAAGTACTCAAATTGCTTTCATCCCAAACATTTTTAAACGGGAACAATTTCTTAAAGTACTCGTGTTGCTTTCATCTCATTATATTCGTATTGCATCCATCTCAGTTTATTTCTCTTTTGATGCGTAATAGCTAAAATTTATATGTGTATATCACATGTAATAAATTTTCAGAAAAGAAATTTATATTTAAAATATCAGATAATTTATTTTTTTTATCAAAATCAATAAAGGATTAATCACCACTCAAAAATTTATATTTTTTATCAAAATCATTTTCAAGTATAAAATTAAACAATTCATTTAGTTTGTATTGGCAATATAATAATAAGTTTTTATGTATTATCTATAAGAGTAGAATTTTATCCCTCAGTAATTAGTTGTAATATTTGAAATTCTAGCATAATTAATTAATTAATTAATATTTATCGGAAAAAAGAAAGAAAAAGCAAACAAGATGAACGATGAAAGAAAAGAGTAAGTAGCTATACCATTATTCCTGCCATTAAATTTTTAATTAGGGCAACTTAAAGTCTGAAATCAAAGTAGTTAGACATTAATCATGATTTATACTATATAATTTAAAGAGAAAATAAATCCGAAATTTAGTTATCATTAATATAAATTACCAAAAATAATATACAATGTCATAAAGGAGCAACCATTTATACACAAAAAGCTCAATCATTTGTATATGGCAGCATCGTAATAGCAGTACCACCAATTAAGGCACTGTAGACGCAGAACAGGACACACGTGAACACATTCTATTGGTTACGCTTTAAATATTTCAAAAGCTCTCTGTAACTTCTGGTCCCACAAGATCACGGCGCTACAGCAACCAGATTTCTTCGAAATCTAATACGACAAAAATCCCGAAACTGCTTAAGCCGAGCGGAGCCGAGATAAAAGCGAGTAAGCTCTGAGCATAGCCCTATAAAACCAGCGAACAGACAAAGGAAAAACAAAGCCCAACTTTGTTTTTTAATTTTAATTTTATTTACTGGTAATAACCGGTAAACCGGTTGTGACGGTAACAAAGGTGTGACCGTACGGCACATGGCAGGTCGTTTCCATGGCAGTTGGTAAGCATTTAGTGTGCTTTTGCCTCCCTTTCCCTCTTCATTATATCTATTCTCTCTCTCCCTCAAAAGCTGTGCATTTTTTCACTGCTCACTTTCAAAATTCGTCTCCAAAACCTTTTCTTTTTCTTTTCTCTGTCGTTAATCTCTCCGACGCACTTCTCAGATCCGCTTTGTTCCATCTGAATCGATTTAATTCGACTTTCTTCAGGTATTAGCCGTATGCTTCTGCTCCATTTCCTATCTAATCTTCACATGTCGCAGTCATTTCTCTTCTTCTTCTTCTTCCTCTTTTTTAAACTATTTGTGTATATTTTTATGTATAAGCATGGAGAGAGATAAGGACATGCATAAAAGTATCAATTTGTATTGAATATTAGCTGCTGGAGATTTTAATAATTATTCTTTTAATAGTCTATGATGATTTTTTTTTTTTGTTTTTTGGTTTAATTTAAAATCAAAAAACAGTTTGATGATTTTATTTGAGCTGTAATGGTACTCACCTTGTGTCATTCACGATTTAATTTCAATTAAGGAGAATTAGAGCTACTAATTACGGTGTTTTTTGTTTACTTTTATTTAAAAAAACTATATTGGAATATATCCTTTGTTTTTTCAATGATAAGCTCACTAGAGATTTCATATTTGGATTTTCTTCTCATTTTAAAAAAGGAAAAGAAATTTTGGATTTTGTTTTCAAAAGCTTTCCTCGCTTCTAGTGGCGATGGAATTAAATTTAGGGTTTTTTTTTTTTTTTTGCCTTTTTGTACTGAACATTGGTCGGATCAAGCTTGTCAGATACTTGAATTTTGATAGGTTTATGATCATAGTTGAAAGGCTTGAATAAGAGAGATTAATTAGTAACACTCCTTTGATCTGAATCAAACAGTGGTTCATTTATTGAGTTCAATCTTTAGTCCGTGACTCAGTAATTGCATCTTATAAATTTCTTTTCTCTCTCTAAAAGATTTACTTGACACTGTTCTTTTTCCTTTTTGCTTTTTCAGGAACCGTAATTGACTAATTGGAGCATGGGATTCACTGTTGAAGTGAAATTAGCAACAAACATTAATTGAGAATTTCCTCTCACCAAAATTGATGGGTTTTCTGTAAAACTTGGGGGTTTTAGATAGCAAGTACTCTGTTGCATGTTTTTTTCAATTACCATCTGGGTTTTGAATCATAATTCGGAGGGTGAAGATGTTAGAGACTGAGCTATATCCTTCTCGTATTCTTTCTCCCTTTCGAGAGGAAAGTGGTGATGAAGAGCTATCAGTGCTTCCTAGGCACACCAAAGTCATTGTCACAGGAAATAATAGAACAAAGTCTGTTTTGGTTGGTTTACAAGGCGTGGTCAAGAAGGCTGTTGGCCTCGGAGGCTGGCATTGGCTGGTATTGATCTTTTTTTTTTTTTTTTTTTTTTTTTTGGTCAAGAAGTGCTGTTGCCTCGGAGGGCGGCATTGGCTGGTATTGATCTTTTTTTTTTTTTTTTTTTTTTTTCAGCGCTAATCATTCTATTTTTTTTTTTTTTTTTTTTTTTTTTTCAGCGCTAATCATTCTATAGTATAACAGTAGTGACTTTTTGTCTTTCTTGTGCACTAGTTGACGTTTCTTTTTACTCTATTTTAATCTCAATTTCTTTTGGTGCACTATCAATTCTTTATTTTCTTACGTTGAGTTGCATTTGCATTGCTAATTTGCTTTTTAGCATAATATCATATGGTTATTTAAACTTGACTGGTTTTGTTCATTTTTTATGTTTCATTGGTCTACAATCTAAAAGGCTTTTCAAGAGTTCCGTTTTTTTTTGTCCCTCCCATCATTCATTAAAAAAAAATTGATCCTTTTTTATATTTTTCTTTATTCATAATTTATTGCTTATTTGACCCTTGTTTTTTTTTTTTTAATTCAATGACCCCAGGAAAAAAATTTTCCTGCACTTAGGTGATCTAGAGATTATTTCGGTGATTTAGGTCTTTATATATTGTTACTGTTATTAAATTTTTTGAGACTATTTCGGTGATTTAGGTCTTTATATATTCTTCTTCTTCTTATTAAATTTTTCCTGAAAAAATTGTATGCATACACGTTTGTAGTTCCATATAATTGGTTGTTTTATTTCCTAAATAAAAGATTTGTGTTGATATAAAACGGCGCTTTATAGACAGATCGTTAGATTTTTAGCCTCAACATCGGAGCAATATCTCGTATTTTTATATCTTCTTTTAGCTGGTCAACATGTGTAACGAAGTAAGTGCGTTATTTTTTTAAGCTCTTGAAGTGGAGGTATGTATTTGGATTAATATGATGAACTCTGGTGGGAATTAAGTTCTTGATTTAAAACAAAAAATAAAACGAAGATTCTTTGCAATTTCACAATTATGATTCTTTTTTTATATATATATTTTTTTTCTTTTCAAAAATTCTTTTAACAAACTGTCAATTTCATATAGTTATTTGTCTGTTAAACTTAATAACTTTTTTATTAAAGAAAATTTGTTTTTTCCTGCTTTTTTTTTTTTTTAAATTGGATCTTGGAATCTTTAACAGATCTTTTTAACAAAGACCTAAACTCAGTGAAAATTTGATTATCTTACTTCTTTTTCTTTACAAAATTTTAAAGATCTTACTTTTTTAACAAAGATTGAAACTCGGTGAAAATTAAAGATAATACTTCATACTTTTTTTTTTTTTTTTTTGAAAGTTGATAGAACTAGAACCACAAAAGATCTAAAAGGAATCAAAGTATTCTTTAACAACTATCAATTTCATATACTTATTTGTATATTAAACGTAATAACTTTTTTTTTTTATTAAAATTTGTTTTTTTTCTGCTTTTTTTTTTTTTTATTGGATCTTGTAATCTTTAACGGATTATTTTAAAAAAGACTTAAAACTCAGTGAAAATTTTGAAGTTCTTCCTTTTTTTCAACAAAGATTGAAACTCAGTGAAATTTTGAAGATATTACTTCATACTTAACTTTTTTAAAAAAATTTGATAGAACTAGAACCGCATATAAAGAAGATTTGATTTCAAAAGATCTACTATTTGGATGAATACAGTAGAATTGAAACAAAAGATTCATAGAACCTATCCCAATTAGTTTGAAATTTTGGAAAATAAGACTTAGTTATTGTGATATTAATTTTTGGTTTTTGAAAATCATTTAATTTCCTTGCAATTCGTTACAAATTTTTGTTGTGAATCATGGAAGAGGAGAAATCTAATTTTTATGTTGTGTTGTCAAGTTATTGTCAAATTGAGCTCTTTCTAGCTGATCAAGTTGGCTCGAGTTCTGATTTAATTTGGCAGTTTATTATGTAGGTAAGATGATGAATGTTGTGAAAATAATGATATATAATATAAAAGCATGCAAAATATTAAATACT